GATATCCCTGGGACCAGATGGCTCTAGCTTAGCGGTCTCATTTCCCCTCTCACCAATTTTTTACCATTCTGGCTTCAATGGCGTTCCTTCCTATCATTTGTGTGGAGGAATAATCTGGCCCAGCTAATGAAAATACTTTGATGTGAGCCTGCCTGTGAAGACGGGCACAGTGGAATCCTCGGGGCCCAGGCTCCACAAGGCATGCAGAGGGGGCACTGAAGGCTGAAGATCAAAGCCAGAACATCCTCAAGGAGCTAGTGGAAGCCAAAAGAGAGAGCAGACCTGCATCCCACAGTCCCAATACGTGTTCTGTATCATTCCATATTGCTAAGCTTATTAATGCTGAACACGTCCTCTGCCTAGTGTGTAGGTTTAAACCAACCTGTGATACGGAAACTCCATTTTAAAGACACTGAACACTGGTGATGAGTAAGCTTGCTCATATGACTTCTGTACCACCCCCATGAAAGCCATTGGTGATTTGGAAAGCTTTGCATTAGTGTAGGAAGTGCTACAAGTAATACCTGCTCTGACCAGCCTAAGGGGAATTCTAAAGAGCCTCCTAGGATGTGGCTAATCTTATCAAACAGTATTTCACTGAGTGATTCATTGACTGGGTGAATGAGAGAAGCCTGATGGTCTGGGCCCTGGAGTGCCCTGTTATGTGGCAGTAATCTTTGGAACCTGCCCATGTTCCGAGTCTGCATTCTTGTGCACAGTTGGCAACATGGTGGATGGGAGACTGTGAAATTGGTTGCTGCCAGGTTATTGGCCTGTAGGAGCTAAAATATTGATATCTCTCTACTTATGATGATAGCATTTCACTGCAGACTGGCAGGCTTTCCAAGCTTGTCTTTTTTTTTTTGTTTGTTTTTCCTCAGGTGGTAAAAGAGAAGCAGCTGATAAGTCTCATTTGGAGGCCTGTGGTTACGTTGCTCTTGACAGCCCATAGCAGAAAGTCTTCCAGGTTGTTTGCTGAAGCTTAAAATAAAGGGAAGGTTTCCAGAAACGTCAAAGTAGATTCGGAGCAAACAACAAAACTGCTGAGCAAAAAGAGTTGGCCTGTTCTGTGCCCCTCCCTGGGTGCTGATAGACGACATGGCTTAACATTTCTGTGGCAGTTCTGGGCAGTGACTTTTCTGTAGATATTAGAATCATAAAATCACAGAGTTGGAAGGGACCTCTGAAGGCCATTTAGTCCAACCCCCTGCCCAGAGCAGGACCAATCCCAACTAAATCATCCCAGCCAGGGCTTTGTCAAGCCTGACCTTAAAAACTTCTAAGGAAGGGGATTCCACCACCTCCCTAGGTAACGCATTCCAGTGTTTCACCACCCTCCTAGTGAAAAAGTTTTTCCTAATATCCAACCTAAACCTCCCCCACTGCAACTTGAGACCATTACTCCTTGTCCTGTCATCTGCTATCACTGAGAATAGTCTAGATCCATCCTCTTTGGATTCAACTTTCAGGTAGTTAAAAGCAGCTATCAAATCCCCCCTCATTTCTTCTCTTCCGTAGACTAAACAGTCCCAGTTCCCTCAGCCTCTCCTCATAACTCATGTGTTCCAGACCCCTAATCATTTTTGTTGCCCTTCGCTGGACTCTGTCCAATTTATCCACATCCTTCTTGAAGTGTGGGGCCCAAAACTGGACACAGTACTCCAGATGAGGCCTCACCAATGTCGAATAGAGGGGAACGATCACGTCCCTCGATCTGCTGGCAGTGCCCCTACTTATACATCCCAAAATGCCATTGGCCTTCTTGGCTACAAGGGCACACTGTTGACTCATATCCAGCTTCTCGTCCACTGTCACCCGTTGGTCCTTCTCTGCAGAACTGCTGCCTAGCCATTCAGTCCCTAGTCTGTAGCGGTGCATTGGATTCTTCTGTCCTAAGTGCAGGACTCTGCACTTGTCCTTGTTGAACCTCATCAGATTTCTTTTGGCCCAATCCTCCAATTTGTCTAGGTCCCTCTATATCCTATCCCTACCCTCCAGCGTATCTACCACTCCTCCCAGTTTAGTGTCATCCGCAAACTTGCTGAGGGTGCAATCCACACCATCCTCCAGATCATTAATGAAGATATTGAACAAAACCGGCCCAAGGACCGACCCTTGGGGCACTCCGCTAGATACCGGCTGCCAACTAGACATGGAACTATTGATCACTACCCATTGAGCCCCACAATCTAGCCAACTTTCTACCCACCTTGTAGTGCATCATTCCAGCCCATACTTCTTTAACTTGCTGACAAGAATACTGTGGGAGACCATGTCAAAAGCTTTGCTAAAGTCGAGGAATAACACGTCCACTGCTTTCCCTTCATCCACAGAACCAGTTATCTCATCATAGAAGGCAATTAGATTAGTCAGGCATTATTCTTGGATGCCCAGAGAGTTTATGTTCTGTAAGGCACAGTGTCCCAAGTGTTGCAGCAGAGGGCTAAAATAGCAGGGTGAGACTTCTTGATATGCTACAATCTGGATTGAGACCAAAGGGGAATATGGGGATACAAAGTAAATCAGGTGTGCTGAAAGGTGGGGAATAGGGTTGGGTGACAGGGAAGGTATTATCGGATATTCAATGTACAGCCAGAGTCGATGTTACTCTTAGTGCCGGGGGCTATACAGCTACATGCTTGTAGCCAATTTGCAATCATAATACTGATCCTTATCCACCTGAAGAAGAAACATTTTATGTGCTGTTAGCAGTTCCCTGCTTGTACTGAAGAGAATGGTAGACAAGGGCTGGTTTACTGTCAGTTGCGGAACATATTTGAAAGCTAGTAAGATCTATTTTTCATAAAATGCATTTATTGAAAGGTACTAATTGTGACAATACAGAGATCAGTTCTTCATTCCCCTGCCAGAAAGTTGGTAAGAGATCTGTATGAAATGCAGCAAAGCTTCTACTATAGTTTACTGTAGCAACCACTAAAGATAAGGGCATAAATTTATCAGTGGCTTTGGATGCTTAATTTGAGATATTTTGGAAGGGCCTGACTCTCAGAAGTGTCGAGCCATCTGTCCACTGAAAATTGAGCACCTGTAAAATGTCTCATTCGTTTCTGAAAACTCAAGCCAAGTTTACTAGAATTCCATCAGCTTCCCTGTTTTAAAATGTCCAGTTTCCATTAACTCTCTTCTGTGCTTGTTTTTGGCCTTATGGTGGCATTTTCAAAGTTTAAGGAAATTGCTTCCTAGTTTTGAGTTATAGGAAGGTGAAAGTCTTTTGTTTTGGTGTTTTGCCACCACAGAAAACCATATTGAGTTGTCTTGTACATACATAATTCACATGCTGCAGTTGAAAAGCTGCATCTTTCAAAGTGGGTTATTTTGTGAGTGTGTGTTTAGGGGACCAGTAAGGAATTATGTTCTTGCTTTGCACATGCATAGCACAAATATCCACTAAATGTGTGATGCTGTGCTGGTTCCAGAATAACAAACGTGATCTCAGTGTTACCACGGGGTGGGTTTGTGCTGTCATTTCATTATGCATGTGCAAGTACCTGGTTAGTGTGTTAGTCTTTTTTGTTAATCTAAACAAAATAGAAGTTGCCCAGGTGTACAATTAAAGTTAGTTTTAAAACACAAGAAGTGTAGCTGTCAGGCTTTCGGAATAGCTAATCTCCCTCGTTGCATGTATAGAATACCAGACTTATTGCATATTTGAGTGCACTTAAACCTATCTAAGGAACTTTTCTTGCCATCGTCACTATAGTATCTGAGCATCTCAGTCTTAACTGCATTTCTCCTCACAACCCCTGTGCGAGGAGAGCATTGCTGTTATCCTGTTTTACAGATGGCCTGAATCTCTGTGCTTCGGGTCCCATGTCGGCACTGCAAGCTATGCCACTGTAGCACAGACACGTTCTACATCAACGGAGAGGGTTTTTCTGTCGATGTACTACTGCCTCTTGGAAAAATTGTTTAGCAAGGTCAATGGAAGAATTCTCCAGTTGACCTAGCCATATTTACACTGACATTTTTCACAGCCCTGAGTGATGTAGCTAGGTTGATCTAATTTTTAAGTGTAGATCAGACCTCAGTAACTTGTCACGTGAAGCCTGTAGCAGATCAGGGAATTGGTTAGTGCTGACCACTGGACCATCCTTCCTCTGTAAAATAGACCATGAAAGGGTTCAAATGGGATACAGTCCAGTCGCTCTCATAGTTCAGGTGACCTGCATGGTTCTGTCACAGTAGCGTTTCAGCCACCTTGTTGGCAATAGTATATTCTTCACTTAGAAGCCAGGAACTTCCAGCACAAGTAGAATGAGTGGGGCTGTAGGCTTTTCATGGGAGGCTCCCAGAGGCTTTCGAATAATTGTCCATTGTAAGTAGAGGTGGTGGGTGCTTTGCCCAATGGGCCATGATCCTTGTGGGGCAGCTGTGGGTGGCGCTGTAATTCAGGTAGCTAAGGGATGCTCTGCGACAAAGGAATGGAAATAGAGAGGTCCATCTGAACTAACAAGGGCTAGGAAAAAAGTGGGGAAGGTTCAAAGTGAGATTTTTAATTTAAATCCAGTCCATCAGAAGGGCCCTGAAGAAAACAGCAAAACAAGTCTGCCCCATTCCCACTGACTATAGGCCTGAATCCTTAGGCCACAAGCCACAGCCAGAGATTCTAAGTGCTAGTGAGAATTCCTCTGGTGTGGGTTCATAGAGATGCCAATTAAAATAGCAAGAGTCAAATGCACAACAAAAGTTATGGTGGAGACCCATGAATAAAAAGTCTTTCAACTCCATAGACTGCCCTGGCAGTCTAATGCTATATAACAAATGGATGGCTTTTGTTCTCCCAGTCTGTGGGAATGGTGGGGTGTGGTTTTGTGCTGGTGAGATTTGGCCTAGAGGAAATATGTATCGTCCTGAGCATGTAGGGTACTTGCCTCCATAGGCATTGTGATGGGCAGTAACTCCTCCATTCCCTGTCGACTTTAATGGAATTAATTGTGCCCAGATGTTACTCATGTCTGTCTCCTTCTCCCCTTTAACAGCTAAAAAGAAGAACAAGAAGGGGAAAACCCTTACTCTGACGGACTTTCTGGCAGAGGATGGTGGCAGCGGTGGTGGCGGTGGAACCACCTTTATTCCAAAACCAGTCAGCTGGGCCGATGAGACAGACGACCTGGAAGGAGATGGTACGTTCGTTCCCAAGTTTCCATACTATTAGCATTCTGTCTCTAGGTACTGTCCCTGAATAGCTTGTGTGTCAGTGAAACCTACTGATGTTAAGACATCTTGAAGCTAAAAGATTACAGGAAAAGTGCCTTTATTTTTTTTAGCTTGTTCATGATGCACTTGAAAGCACTTTGGTCAATTTCATGGTCATGTTCTGTATATAGTTTCCCTGCATTTGTGAGAGTCTTATACATCAACGGGGAAAGAACGAACATTTTCAGTACTTGTAACACCTAACTCCTTTGAGAGACCAACTGAGTTCTCTGCTTTATCTGAGGCTTGGTCTGGGGTTCGCAGCAGAGATGTCCTGATTCAGGGATTCCGTCCAAGTTGCTCATTCCCTGACTCTGCCCCTTAGTGGCTGTACTCGGAGCTCACGGAAAACTTTTCTGTCTGCTGTATTTGACCATTTTGTCTCCATTATATCACCGGCTTGGTCTCTTGGGTTTTTTTTGTTCGTCCAATTTTGTTCATTCCCTGGATCTCATGTTTTTGTGCAGCGTTTGTGCTATGATCTGTTGGGGGCCAGGGGGGAGTGCCCTAAAGTACAGGGCACAGCTGAATCTAATTGTGGGATTGTTTATAATATTGCTGAACATTTTTCTTGACCATCTTTAATGCCTTTATTTTACAGCTGAAGGGGCTGCAAGTAAATTCAAACATTAATCCCAATGAGGAGGGGATCTGAGAGGCATCAACTTCTGTAAAGGCTAGGGGACTTGTTCAGTGTGTCTTGACCATGTGCAAAATTTCTCTTCTAGTTTCCACCACTTGGCATAGTAATGATGATGATATGTACCGAGCCGCACCAATTGACCGGTCCATCCTGCCCACTGCACCTCGGGCTGCTCGGGAACCCAATATAGACAGAAGCCGTCTCCCAAAGTCGCCCCCGTACACTGCCTTTCTGGGAAACTTGCCCTATGATGTGTCAGAAGAGTCCATCAAGGACTTCTTCAGAGGACTCAACGTGAGTATCTGTTATGCATAATTTTAAGTTTGTTGTGACACATAGCAGGGAATGTGAAATATTTCTTGATGTGCCATTGGGTGTTGAACTGAACGTTGCCCATGTGGTGATGAGCTCCGCTGCTCACAGCAGATTATGATCAAAATGACATTGCTTGCATTTCTTGTCCATTTCAACTTGCATCTAGAACTCATTTATTCTGCCTACTGATGCAGCATCCCCTCCTTCTTGGAAGTAATAGCTTGCCTATAACAGTACAACAGGGGATCCATCACAGTGTCCTAGCCATTGTAATAGACTTCATAGCACTTGCTGCATATAGCAGCCTAGGGCTGTGCCAAAGACAGAGAATACTTAGCATGCAGTGAAGAAGCCATTTCTCATCTCATATGCTCTTAAGTTCCACATATCTGAAAAATGGGAAGAATCAGTGAGAGATGAGGTCTAGTAAGTTGCTAAGAGTGGATGGAGGCTTAATCTGTGGCAAAGCTGGGAGTAGAACCCAGGAGTTCCAGGCCCAGTTCTGCCACTGTCTTCCTGGGCAGTCTTTGCTGAGCTCCAGTGTCACCATCTAGAGAGGCCGCGCTGGCTTTAGGTGGATGGCAATGGTGAATGTCCCTCTGAGAGGTGACTGATGTACTGTATTGGGCTTTGTCTACTCTACCACTTTTGTCGGTGAAACGTGCCGGTTGACATAAGTTCAATTGGCAAAAGTGATGATGTGGACAGCTCTGTGTCAGGAGAGGCTCTCCTGCCAACATAGCCAGTGCCGCTTGTTGGGGGTGGGTTGTTTATGCCAGCAGGAGAGCTCTCTCCTGCCGGCAAAGAGTGTCTACACGGAAGACCATACAGCGGCACAGCTATAGTGGTACAGGTGTGCCTCTGTAAGGTCCGTAGTATAGACATAGCCTTACGTAACCAGTTGGTGAACTCATTGGTATCTTCAGAGTGAGGGACTGCCTTGTTAATTTCCTGCCAACCAGTCTCCATGGCATTCTGTTGCTTATAATCATCCAATACTTGCCCCATCCTCTACTTACACTGTAGGTGCATTAGGAAGTGACTAGGTACTTTTGGAGGTGGTGGTCCGTGCTTCCGAAAGACAACACTGAGCTGCCCTGGCTGGCTAGCTGATGTTTTGCTTCTAGCAGCAAAAACCTCTTGTTCAGGTGGAGTCAAACTGAGCAAATTTGATAAGGAAATATTAATTGGGGGGGGGGGGGTGCACGTAATAAATATGGGATGTCAGTTTAATGACCATCACTAGAATTTTCCCTTCCTCACTTGCTGAGCTGCAGCTTTGCCCATATCATTCACTCTTAACCACTGTCCAGCTGCTTCTGTAATTCTTTATCAAGCCAATAGCTTGTCACATGTGGCTTATCTGAACACAATTTGAGCTCCTTGTTTGAGTATAACCTCCAGAAACCACTGTGGTGATATGCTGTGGCTTTGAGCTGTGTGCTGCGCTTCTCTAAGCAGGAAGCGCAACTGGGAGCAAGTGTGCTTATGAAGTGGTTAATCAAGTGGAAATCATTAATGTGATAGAATTTTTAGTTTAGCCTTTGAAGTGACATTTAATACTTTAAGCAAACTATACTGTAAGAGTGATATTAGTTTTAAGTTCTGCATCCCAAACCTAATCGTAAGCATTGTGTTAGCTGCCCTTCCTGGCAGTGGGGTGTTGTCTGTAGTTGTGCAGCTGGGAATAAAACTGCTGTTCCTGTTTTCCATAATCTAGCTTGAAGGGTCTTTCCATTGAAGCAGGTCAGAAATTGGCCTTACATGAGGAGTTTATCAAGTAACATTAAGTAAGCTGTGGAAATGGGTGGGGTTCATAGGGCGCTTTCATTGCAGGGTGGGGAGAGTGCATATATCATGTGCAAAGATCCTTTTGCAAATTGTGTAAGTGTGAAGCGTTCTGACCTGTACTGCCAGTTCCAGTTCCAGTCCAATCCTGACCAGTGCCCTCTAACAGCTCCTCTTTGACCTATGCGAAATGGGGAGGAAGGGGCAGCAGTTGGCTCTGCTGTTGGTAGTTGTCAGCAGAGGTTAAAGAGTGAGAGACTCACAGACCTTGTTTTTACCAGGAATATACGAAGGAAGCTTACTCTGCCAGTGCCTGTGTTTTCCCTGTTCTGTGGATAAAGACCTTCAGTCTCCAGGGGTGAAAGTCGGGCACTGTTTACCAGTGCCAAATTCTTCATTCCAAACTACTATCTGGGTTCTCAGACAATAGCACTTTAAACAGGAACCAGGTCCATGGGTTTCTGATATACTAATCCTCTTATTTGCCTGCAAGCGAACTATGCTGTCTGGCTTGCTTAATTCAAATAAATCTTATTTGAGTCACATGACTTTGGGAAACTCAACATCTCCTGTTTGGAGACCACATGCCTTCTCCAATGGATTTGATCTGCCAGATGAATGTGTAGTTAAACCCAGTCCTATTGAGTCTTCCTCTGCATTGCTTATCAAGGGATCCTGACCCTTCTAATGAGAATCTTCCTTTCTGTTCCCAATTGACTGCAGATAAGTGCTGTGCGTTTGCCCCGGGAACCTACTAACCCAGAAAGGTTGAAAGGTTTTGGTTATGCCGAGTTTGAAGACCTGGACTCCTTGCTCCGGGCTCTGAGCCTCAATGAAGAGGTGAGTTGAAACCTGCAAAGAAATGGGGTCAAAGCAATTCCCAAAACTCTTGCTTCCAGACCCCAGGTGGCTTCACAGGGTGTTCTGGGGCCCAGTTAACAGACACTGTGCCTCAAAGTGTTCTAAGATCTCCCTAGAACAAACTGTCTAGAATCCCCACATCCTCAGGCTGAAAGGCTAATGAATTTGGTGTTGTGTGTTCAGTCTCTAGGGAACAGAAGGATACGAGTGGATGTTGCTGATCAAGCTCAGGATAAAGGTGAGAACTGCCTGAAATGATAGCAATTTTCTTCTCTGATCAGATAAACTGAATGCTGACAAATTAGGTACCACACTGCAAGGCAACTGTCCTCATGACTGAATGTGCCTTAGCACTGGAGCTCCTGAAGAGCTGGTGAGTGGCTGGCAGCCTTCTCTCCTTCTGACCTAAATAGTTCAAAGGCAGCGTATAAGTCCTCCTTGTCTATGCGTTCTGTTCTCACTTGCTGCAGGGCCAAGGTTTCTGCACATCTGCACGCCTTGCCAAAGGGGTAGCTGGAATGTTCAGTGGCTGTTGGGTACCCATCAGCAACACTAGGGCAGCCCTCTGCCCCACCGCCCATGTACTGTCCTTGAATCTGGCTAGGCCCGTCATCCTTCTAAAGCATCAGTCAGAGGTTCTTGTTTCCATTGATGTATTAACTGCAAGACAACATGTCGAACTGCAGAGATGCTGTATCTGTCTCAGTACATTTCAAATCCATGGATTTCCCCTTCAGTGCTCAGCCCTTGGGCATTTGCACCAGCCCTTAAAGACTTGACCTTCCAAGCCTGACTCTGCTGTCTGGTTCCCTCCCTCCTGCAGACAGGGACGATCGCTCCTTCGGCAGAGATCGTGATCGCAACCGGGACTCGGAGAGATTCGAGACTGACTGGAGGGCTCGTCCTGCTACTGATAGCTTTGATGATTACCCTCCACGCAGGAGCGAGGATAGCTTTGGAGACCGTGAGTTGGCTGAGAGCCCTCCCTCTATGCCCATCATAGTATCTAGTCATTAAACATTACCTGTGAAATGTTAGTTCCACGCCTCCTCTTGGGTTTCTTCTGGGATCTACTGGGGTGGATCTGCAGATCCCCAAATTTGAGGAGCCAGATCCTGCGTATCCCTCATACTCCAGCAATATCCTTCCTTTTTGGATGGTGTCTCCTGGGAAACGACATCACCGTGGTATCCTAGCATGCTTATTTTCAGCTCTGCACATGGTGACCAGTTGAGTTACTGGGTGGAGAGTCTGTAGCCTCAGGTATTTGACTGGGACCAGGAGATCTGAGGTCTGCTCCCCGCTCTCTGCAACAAGTTCATGTTATGACCTCAGGCAAGTTCATCTTGGTGCCTCCGTTTCCCATCTGCAGAACGAGTAATAATTCTTTGCTGCCATACAGGGGTGTTGAGGGTAATGTACGTGACGTTTCAGTACCGTAGTGACAAGTGCCATCAACAGTCTGATGAAATATGTAATTCAACAAGTGATCAAAGGTGGGAGGAATGAACTGAATCATGTAGAGTCTTTGCCAACTGAGCTCTTTGGGACAGTGTGTCAATTTAGTGCATCTACACTACAAAATTAAGTCAACATACAGCCACCGCAGTAGTTCAGTTTGATTTTTAATGTCTGCACTATGCTCCTTCTGTCAGCAGTGCACGTTCTCACCAGGCGCACTTTCACTGATTTAACTGGCGTTGTGGGGCACTGACAGCTGGAGCCCTGCCCCTCTGAGGCTGACAGCTGGAGCCCTGCTGCACCCTCTCCACATCCCCTTACCAGGAGGCGACCACAGCTCAAGCTCTCCTCTCCCCAACCCCCTCAGTTCCTCATCAGCTGTCAGCCCTGGGCTTGGACTCCGGCTGTCAGCCCCGTGAGGCAACAGATGATGTAAGCCTCACATTATCTACATGGACACCTCACTGACCCAACTGCATTGGCTTAAGCATTACACCACTCGCAGACGTGGAATTAAATTGGTGTGGTGGGCGACTTAATCAGGCTCCTGCCGATGTATGTCAATGTAAACTGCCTTTCATCAACCTAACTCTGTAGTGTAGACTAAGCCACAGTGTTTTGGGAATAGTGCACAGTCACCCAATACTGCCTGCCTTGTACTGTAACCTTTCTTTCTCTTTAGGGTATCGGGACCGCGATCGTTACAACGATTCGGACCGGTATCGCGATGGCCCTCGCAGGGATATGGATCGCTTTGGGGGCAGAGATCGTTATGATGACCGTAGTAGAGACTACGATAGAGGAGGTAGTATGGCTTCAGAGGCTTTCGTATGATCTGATGGATCAGGGTATCAAACTGCACGTCAATTGGAGTCTGTTTCTGTCCAGAGCTTGCACTAACCATTGACAAACCACTTCAATTGTGCAGCCCCCAGGTCTATTGTTGTTCCCCATTCTAGAAGTGGGGGATGGAAGGCAGACCACTCATTGTATGCCTTTGAGTTGCAGTCCACTTACTCCTGTGTGTGGCAGATGGTGTGCATAGACCTGCCCTGGTACTTACATTTCATAGTGCCTCCTGATTGAGCAGATCAAGCTGCAGCCAACCCAACCTCTCTGGAACAGGTCACCGTTGCCCCTTTCTTGCCTTCCTGTATAAGGAATGTTGCCTAAACCCAGAGGGGCCTCCCTCTCCTGCACTTAGTCAGCCATCCTCTAGTGTAATGCTCCATTGCTCAGGAGTAACCTGTGCTGCTTTCCCTCTCTTCCTCTTGTAGGCTACGATTCCAGGGTGGGCAGTGGCCGGAGAGCCTTTGGCACTGGGTACCGTCGGGACGATGACTTCAGAGGGGGAGGTGACCGTTACGAAGATCGATATGAAAGGAGGGACGACAGGGTGGACAGGTGGAGCTCCCGGGATGACTACGCCCGGGATGACATTCGTCGCGATGATAGAGGTAAAGGCTCTGCTCGTTCTCAGGGGGTGGGCTCAACAGTTGGAAGGAAGCTGAGCTTGGAGGGTTGGTAGCCAGTGCAACCAGTGCACCTCCTCTCCTCCCTGCGTGTTCCTGGGGTCCTGTTCTGAGAGATCACATGACGTTTGCCCTCAAGTTGCTGTCCACTTCATCCAATGTAGGTCCCACTCAGAGGCCAAAACTGAACCTGAAACCGCGCAGCGCCCCCAAGGAGGAAGACTCCTCGGTGGCCCCTGCCACTCAGTCCAGCCGCGCAGCCTCGATCTTCGGGGGTGCCAAGCCTGTGGACACGGCCGCAAGGGAGCGTGAAGTGGAAGAGCGGCTACAGAAGGAGCAGGAGAAGCTGCAGCGTCAACTGGAGGATGATAAACCAAGGCTAGAAAGGCGGCCCCGAGAGAGGTAGGTGGCGGGAGGGGGCTGGAACGCCCTTGGGAGCAGCTCTCTACATGAGCTGCCTGACTGCAAGTGGTGGTTCTGTGGTGTGCACGCTGGTGTCCCCGCTCCCCACATCCTTCTTCTAAATTGTGCATACAAGGGTGCTGAGGCTTAGCACGCCTGCAAAGCTGTGCACCCCTCTCATGAAGGGTGCTGGAGATGTGACCGCTACCCTCTGTAATATTGCACCGTCTGGTTGTTTGCATCCTTTGGAATAATGTTGTCAAAGGCTGAACGTTCGTTAGAATTCCAGGCAGCTCCGTAAACCTAAAAGAAGTGGCTGGCCTTAGTATGGGCTCCTGGTAGGTCCTATTCACCAGGGCAGCTGTACATTCCTGACTTACATTGTCAGAAGACGCTGGGCTTGATTCTCTCCTGGATGATTTCTGAAGAGAGGCAGCCTTGTCCAGTGGGTAGGGCCTGGGCCTGGGAGTTGAGATGCGAGTTCTCGTGTCACCTTGGGCAAATCTTTTAATCTCTGTGCTTCATGTTGCCCATCTGTCAAAGCAGCAGGGTAGTGGTGATAGCCCTCCTTTGCTGTCCCTTTTGAGATCAGCGGATGGGAAGCACCAAGCACTTGTACTGCTTTGCCCACTCTCTCCTCCAGCCCCGCACCCAGTTCTTACTGGATATTACGGTTTGATCAGACTTTCTTCCCCCTTTCTATTATAGGCACCCCAGCTGGCGTAGTGAAGAGAACCAGGAGCGATCACGGACAGGGAGCGAGTCCTCGCAGACTGGGAGCACAGGCCCGTCCGTGGGAACTGGCCCAACAGGAAGAAGTAAGTCGGGGACGAGATGAGTCGGCCTGGACCAAGCCTGCCATTGTCCACTCTTGTTTCCCAAGTTGGCTGCTTAGCCCTGCTTCTGTTGAAAGCCCCGTCACGTGTGTAGGCTGCGTGTGGGGAAGGATCTCTAGTACGACTCAGTGGATGGTTGCATGGGACCAAGAACGTCAGTGATGCTCAAACGCTTGTTCACCAGACTCCTTTGGTGCAGCCTCCACCATCAACGTACCCTCATCCTGTTCCACAACAGAACAGGTGCTATGTGAGGCCTAGCTTCCTGGCTGCTGTAGCGATCAGGTTTTAGTGGTCCCTTGCTACATGAGAGCCACTCGTCAGGTTACTCGTGGGCAGTGTTAGGTCAAACCTGCTGGCCTCAGGCAGGCAAGAGCCCTAAAGTGATAGTTAAGGGGCCATCAAGGTCGATGGCCCAGGCTACTCCAATTGGAATAATTGGGGACCTGTCCAGACCTCCTCCCTTGGGCTAGATACATTTTGGGGGAAGTCTTGCCTTCCCACGTCCCTTGTGTTCACTGCCATCTCCTGTCCTTACAGCCACCCGAAGGAGGGAGAGTGAGAAGTCCTTGGAAAATGAAACCTTCAGCAAAGAGGATGATGCTCCATCTCCAACCTCCAAGACCCCCAAGGAAGAGAAGCTCCCTCTGAAAGTGATGCCAGCACCACCGCCGAAGGAGAACGCTTGGGTTAAACGCAGCAGCAACCCCCCTGCCCGCTCCCTGAGCTCTGACACGGAGCAGCACTCTCCCACAAGGTGAGTGTCTGTACCGAGCGCCTGCTCAGGGTCTGATCTGTCATCCCTAGATACATGAAAGGAGCTTCGGTTACAGAAGGGAGGCTAAAACTCTAGTGGAGATGAGCAGCTGCTCTGTTCTCCACTGAAACAATGGTGAATGCAGCATGCACCTTGTAGAGCTTAGCTTCAGGCAGTGGCCTCAGGTTTGAGTCTGGTTTGGGGGCTTCTGGTTGGTTCTTGTATGACCCACATGTGGCTGCTGAAATCTTAGACCCAAGGCTGAGCTTCATCAAGAAGCAAATAGCTCTCAAAGTCAGCAGTATCCCAAGCACCTGTCAGAGGATGCAGCGTCCCTGATGTTCACATGTTTTCGTTTTGTTTTGTTTTTTCTTCCTAGCAGCAGCCAGGCAGCACCAGCCCAGCTGTCGGAGGATAGAGCACCACCTAAGAGTGCTTCCAGGAAAGGTACGGTCGGGGCTTGTTTCCACTTGTAGGGCAAGAAGGGTCTGGAATCACTCTGCCTTGTGCAGGTGGACTAATCTTGCTGCTCCCTGGTTTGATGCCCTGAGTTACATGGCATTAGCACTGTGGAGTTAAGGGGTGGTTCCAGGTTTGGGAATTGTTGTTGTTCGTATGGCTTATTAATCTCAGCAGGCCCAAGGGGTAAACAACTCTAGTCAAGTTCTGGTGACCTTAAGTTGTTCCTCTGCTGGACAGTAGAGGGCAGCAGTCTCCTCTCTGTATTGATGGGAGCAGAAATGGACAGTTCCTTCAGACTAAATTCAAACACTCATCTTTGTCCGCATAGATGTCTGACCAGCCGCGAAGGGAAAACTACCTCCCTCCCGGATAGACTGCCATGGGGCTGCAAGTGTAACCCCTCATAAGTCTGCGTTTCTGTGATTGGGGAAACCTCACTTCCCGTGCAGTTGTCACTGCAAAGCCTCCTGCCTCAATGCTGGCTTAACTGGTTTTGGGGGTGGATTAACCTGAAGAGTGCTGAATTAACAACCCAGAAGAAGAGAGATTCAAGTCCTCTGCCTGCCATAGAGACAGTAATAGTGCCGTTGGCCATGGCCTGTTGAGGAGACTTGTTGGAAAACGGCACGTTTTGGAGCAAGCATAAGGAGGCCTTAGTCTGAAGGAGCATGTGGGAGATGGTTCAGGAAGCATCTCCCAAGTAATGTAATTGACCTCAGATCCTCTTGGGTAGGGCCCTACCAAATTCACAGCCACGGAAAACACGTCCCAGACTGTGAAATCTGGTCTGGTATGCTTTTACCCTATACTCTACAGATTTTGTGGGAGAGACCAATGTTTCTCAAATTATGGTCCAGACCCTAAAGGGAGATGTAGGGGGGAGTCACAAGGTTATTTTAGGAGGGTCATGGTATTGCCACCCTTCTGTGCTGCCTTCAGAGCTGGGCAGCCAGAAAGTGGCTGTTGTTGGCCAGGCGCTCTGCTCTGAAGGCAGCACCGCCAGCAGCCGTGCAGAAGGAAGGGTGGCAATCCCATACCACACCATCCTTCCTTCTGCGCTGCTGCTGCTGGCGGCGGCTCTGCCTTCAGAGCTGGGCTCCCAGCCATCAGCATCATGAAATTTGCGACTTTTAAAATCCTGTGACACTGAAATCGACTAAAATGGACCATGAATTTGATATTGCCCTTTGATATCGGGGAAGGGGTACTCAAAGCTGCCTTTGGGATCCCTAAGTTCTAGAAAGAGGATTTCATAAAAGGGAGAAGCAAGTCATGGATGAACCCACAACATGGAGACTGCTTAAGTAACGGAGAGTCACAGAAGACAGGCTAAACAAAAGGGGAAGCAGGAAGGCAAGGAAAAACTAGAAGAGTGAAATGCCAAAGGGGCCAGTTGAGCTGAATAGGTATCCCTCAGAACATGGACATCCAGCCCTTGTGGAGCCAATAGGGAGGAGCCTGTAACAGGCAAGCTGGAACTTAGGAAGGCCCAGATGGATTTTGGGCCTTGACTGTAAGCTGTTTGGGGTAGTGTTTGTGCCATGTGTATCACAGGCTGTCTAAGGGCTTACTGAAAACGCACGACAGAACTTTTCAGTGTGCGGGAGTAGGGTCCACCCGATATCTCGTGCACGGCAGGCTAGTACGCCCCAGCTTGCTGTACTAGAGCTGTTCAGATACACAGGCCTGAAGTGGTTGGTTGAGATTTTGCTATGTTAGTGAGAGGGAACGTTTCATCAGCCCTTTTTTCTTCAGGAGATGAGAACAAACCAGATGAGGGGAAGGAGAGCGTTCCAAAAGCTCGAGGTGGCCCAGGAGACGGAGGCAGCAGAGATCATTGGCAAGATTCAGATAGGTACGTCTGTCTGTCTTGGGATGTCTCATCTTCCCCTTCTCCTCCCACCAGGCCTATTTCAATGACCGTTTCAGATTTGAGCAACATTCCAGTGTCATGCATCAGCCCCTTCTGACCTAACCAGCAACAGGTGTGGAGTGTCTGACCTTCTGCAGCGATGGGGCAGGTCTTAAATAGCCGCAGACTTCTATGTACTGAGCTGTTACTGCCTCGTTGGTAATGCTGATGCTTCCATGCTAGGAGCCGGCTTTGCCTGGTTCAGTATCCACTGCCAACCGAAGCACAAAGCACTCGTTGGTGTAATGGTCTCATGACTCCTCATTCTCCAGTTGGGTATCAGAACAACTAGGCATGAGGCAGGGATGGTCTGTTACAATAGACTGTGACAGGTATTTTAAAAACAATGCACCACCTGAGCTGACCTCGGTTTTAGTTCTCACTAACTTCAGGATGCTTATTTTGGGCCTTTACTAAGATCCAGGCCTTCAGGTCTCCCCCTGCATTCCCTAGACACCTTGCCAAGGTCTCCCCCATTGCCCTACCCCTAATGATGCTGCTACCACCAAGGCCAGTTACCCCTCTCTTCTTATTTAAGTCCCTAGGTTTTTGCAGGAGCTTTTATGCAGGTGGCTTTTATGTGTAAGGTCTGACGTCAGAGAGCTGAGCAGGTTACTAGCCATGCCCTTGGGGACGAGCCAGGACTCCCTCCTTCGTCCACCTACCGAGCTCCTAAATCTAGCAGTAGTCAGTAAAATAGCTACATAGCCTCCCTCGCCACCAGAAGTAGGCATGTGCAGACTTAATTAAAGGATCTATAAAGCCAGTGTCCCTCCTTAACTGGAGGATGCATGTTGTGTCCAGTCAGCGCTGGTCTGAGAACCAGGCTGTGTAAAACACCAACGGCTAGCCTGCACGTTCGATGTGAAATTGGCCATTTTCTCTTCTCCTTGATTAGCACCCCTTTCAAATCCAGTGGGCACAGCTGTAGCCTGGTAGCAGCACACTGACTCCATTGGCAGCTCCTCCAGCTGAATGAATTTTTGTTCAACTGAAACTCTGACTCTTGCAGGAAAGAAAGCAAGAACGATCATGACTCGCAATCTGCATCTGAGCCAAAGAAACCCGAAGAGAATACAGCCTCTGTAAGCATTTAATCTACTAGCTGCTGCTTGAAGCACAGTGGCGTGTGGGGAGAGGAGGGCTGGACTGAGACTTCAGAAACCTCAGTTCAATTCCTAGCTGTTCTGTGGACTTCCTGAGTGCCATCTACTTCTCCTGTTCTCTGTTTCCCCCTATACTTCTCATCTGGGAAGATAAAATTCATTGTTTGGGAAGTACTCAGATACTATGGTGAGGGGTGTGGGGAAAAAATACCTTGATTGAAAACCCTTTGGTAGGTAGTGGGAGCTGCGTGTGATTCTCCTATGAAATGCTGTATCCAGGCTCTTGAACTCTCGATCACAGAGGCTGCAGAGTCACTGACCCGGTGTTTCATTCCCCGTTTAACCTGCTGTATTTCTTGCAGAAGTTCAGCTATGTTAGCAAGTACGCTGCTCTGTCAGTGGATGGTGAAGATGAAGTGGAGGAAGACAATTACACTGATTAAAGTCTCCAGACCCTGTGCTGTCTCCTAGCCGATCACCACCCAGGAACATAGGAAAAGCAAACCAAACCAGATGAGACAGAAATAAAATGTAAAACTCAACATCTCCTGGAGACCTTTCTTAAACTTTTTTTAAAAACAAAAGGAAACCATTTCTCTTGCATGCTGCTGCAGCCTTTAAAGTATTGAACTAACTGGAGAATCTCTGCAAAGTGTAGCGAGAGAGAGAAGTGCACGTTTTAAAAGGAAAAGGGCGACTCAGCATGGTTTCCAGTGTGACTTGAGCATAGGCCCCGTCGCTTAGAGTGGACGTTTAACATGTTAGCCAGCCAGGTGTCTTGGAGAAGCCGGAGCAGATTGGGCAGTAGGACAGTTAATTAAGGAAGAACTGGCTTTTCTCCCTCATCTTGCTAGCCTAAATGGATGAATTCTGCGATGTTACCTTAATAAATGATCACTTTGAAGGTTAGGGTATCTAGTCCATGAGGTTATTCTAGCTTTCTTCCTTAAGCGGCCAGCTCTTCCTTTCCAAAATCCAGTGCAATACAAAGCATTACCCATTGCACTAGGGAAGGAGAAAACGGTCTTGCTGTCCCAACGGTGGAGAATGGGATGAGACTTTGAGGTAGAGAGGGGGTGTTGAACTGTGCCAGTCTCTAAAATGCGCTTCGAATCCGGACTCTCATCTCTGAAAGTGACGCACCAGGTCAGGCCAATTGATCCAGGAAAGAGCAGGCAGGCTGTCCAGTGAACAGCCCCCTGGGGAGTGGAGAGCCTCAGACAGCAGTCAGTTGGGAAAGTGCTAAGCATGCTAACAAGGTAGTGAAAGTCCTCCCTTTTGGAGGCACAAATGCTCAACTCCCCTCCTCCGAGCCCTGCTGGGATGGACAAACCTTTCAGGATCTGACATCTTCCCATGGGTTGGTATCTGTCTCTTGGAATCTCTTCTCCTTAGCCACCTTCTACACACTTCTTTAATCACCTGGTGTCACCCCCTTCACGCACATTTTAAATAGCACCCCCCCTCCTTGAGTGAGAGCTCCCTCTTCCGGCTGGGCATGTACAGCTATCGAGATGCACAGGAGGGCAGACTAGATGGCCTCAAGGCTGTCTCTGGGTGCAGGGAGCAGGCTGCACGTCTGTGCCTCTAGAACATGTTCCTGCCCCCTCTGCATCTGCTTGTCCAACTCACTCCCTCCACTTGGACAAGCAGGCAGACAGCATTGGTGGCATAGGCCCTTGTACAGGGAATACCTGCCTCAATCTTCCATTGAGGAGAGATTCTCCAGTCCCTAAATATTCACTGGCCTAAAACTGGCAAGGTATTAAAAGTAAAATTCTAAATTTTTAGCCGTTTTAATTCACCCTCACTAGGTTTCCTAAGCTGACGGCAGAGTTGTGGTAATCTCATGGCATAGTCAAGCCAGCATGAGGGTTTCACTGCCTTCTAAAGAATAGGGTTCTCAGAAAGAACCCGTTAATGGTGTAGCATATCTGGATTGCAAGACTACAGGCAATACTCACTTGATTGACAAGGTGTGCACCCATTCAGCAATTGTCGCCTTTTTACATTAGCTGCGGGGAGGAGAATTGCAGAAATGTTCGTGGCTTAGGACTGTCTCTCTCTTCTGGGCAAACTCAGCAGAGCACAGCTCTCTACCAGGTGCTGGATTTGATGCATTGTAAAGCTGCAGTTGGTTGGTTATTTCAGTGACTTTTTAGCTAGTTTAAAAAAAACTTAAACCTGACGTGTCAGCACATACCATGGGGAGCTACTGCCAGGACAGCAGAGCTGAATTTCAAACATTGTATTGCCTAGGTCTTGATAACGCAGGGGCTGTATTTGAGGTGACTGTCACTAAATTGCATCTGAGAAAAGCCATCTCTCTCCCCACCCCCTCCTCTGCTGTCGGGACAGGGTCACACTGATTGAGTTGCGTTTTACACATTCTGAAGACATGTAAAATTTGTATAAAAATATCTTCTATGAAAATGATTTGTAATCTGTAGTGGACTTCCTGGGAGATGTCTTTTATTATGTAAAATCCCCCCCCCCCTTTTTTTTTTGGTTTTTTTTTGTTTCCTCCAAATAAATAAAGCTAATCTTTAAAATACCCGCTAAGGCCCAAATCATTTGCAAGCCTCACTCCCACCATTGGCAGTCAGAGGCTGTGGTCCTGAACCCTACTTGGTACCACGCCAGCTTCCCAAAGCCGACTGGACAGTCATGGGACATTCCCTGTGGCAACAGCCACTCTAGCTTCTGTTGCCAACTAAGGAAGACTTCCTCATGGCAAGGAGAGCAGAAACCTTCCCTGGCTTGGTGTAAGAAGGGTGGTTTTTTCCTGCATTACAATCTCCCTCTTAATCTAATGGTTCCCGCCTTGGCGCTGGCCGTTTTGGTCATCCTGCACTGATGTATGGTAGCCGCAAGAGGGAGGTGTTTGCCAGTCTTTGCTCAATTTCCTTACGGAGCGCTTGGCCTTTTCTGGGAGATTGTCCTGCGTGCATCTGAGGGAAGCTGGAACTGTCAGCAGCGAAGGCCCTTGCAGGCCAGGTTTTGTCCTCAGTGCCACCTCATTGCCTGCGGTGGGGGTGTGGGCATAGTCTAGTCTGGACTCAATAATTTGGATTCTGCTCAAGAAGGCATGGAATCCGGTTCGTGTTCTTGCTGTGTTGGTTCTGCAAGGCAGACACGAGTGGCAAAACCCAGTGGCCATTGTAATCTAAAGCCAACCAGTAGTTCAGGCTGGATACACATGGACCAGATGCCACTTTTACATAGTCATTCTCCAGAGCAGACCCTCCCAAGCTTCAACTATTTGTGCTTCGCTCTCTCAGGCCTGGCCTCTGTATCCTGGAACCACTGCCCAGTGCTAATGGAGACAGTTCTTGACCCCTTTTATCCCCAGTGAGTTGGAGCTACAGCAGACAGTTCAATTGCTTGAGGGCCCAGCATTTGGTGGGTGTTCCTCTGGGCATGTTGCTGGTGTAGTGCACGCAAGGGACTATTGCAGCAAATGCGCTCTTGAGGTCCAAGAACGCTCCAGGACCCACTTCGCTAGGGATAGGGCTTCACACGCAGCTCCCTACCCTGGTGGATGGTGTTTGGTTCCCATGTCTTAAGATTTCATTGGCGTTTGGTCCTTTTTTTATCCCCCTGTTTGGGAGATCAGCAGCTGCAAACCCCTTGGGCCAAATCCCCAGCTGAATTGGGGGTGGGCACTGTAGGGTGAAAGTCTATCCAGGTGCTGCCTCCTAGTTTACCTGCATATGTGCTTCCAAAGGAAGGCAGAGTGACTGGTCTCAATCCCTTTTGCCTTCCCCCCGTCTGTTCTGCACCGTTCCCGACCCCAAAGTGACGGCTTTCACTTCTCGTATCTGCTGGCTACAGCAAACTACTTCCTCCTGGGGCTTTAAAGTCTCTAGCTCAAAGCAGCCTGCTCGTTGCCACTCGTTGGAGTTGCAGCAAGCTCAGCACCTTTTTGACATCTGCCTACCTTTTAATTAGGTGCTTCAATAAACCTTACATTACGGTGGCACCTGACCAGCCCCACCTGGCACTTTCCCCACACAGTTGCCTGGATTTGTCTAAAGTCCAAGTTCTCCCGAGCCAATGGCTCGGTGGGCTGACACGGTTAAGACGCATCCGTTTCAGAGCCAAGGGTATGCAGAGGAGCCATGTGGCCAGAACCATGTCCGATAACCAAGGAAGGTCTCTAAATCGACTTAAATAGTGCAGCCATCCCTCAGTGTTTAAAAATTGATCTACAGCTGGCTTAGAGCAGTTCAGCTGAAATCAATCCCCCGAATTGCCCTGAACTCATACAAACCAGATTTAAATAGTCAATGCCTGACTGAATTGCAGACCAGCCCTTAAGTCTACCTAGAAAATTAGGTCAACACAACTACATTCGTCATGGGCATGAAAAATCCACAGCCCTGGGCAACAAAGTTCAACAGAGCTAAGTTTCCATTTAGACAGCGCTAGGTCCCTCGAGGAAATGGATTGCTGACGGAAGAAGCCCTCGGCTGCACTACTGCAGCATTTCTAGTGTAGACAAGCCCTAACAATTTACCCAGGTTTGTAACAGGGCCGTGCAATTCACGGAGGAACTGACCTCAGCTGAACTGCTGAACATGAGGGTTTAATGGACTGAGAAGCAACCTCCAGCTGGGTTTTGCATTTGTCTAGATAAAGTGGTTTAATTACCGCATCTGAGCAAATGAGCGCAGTCCTCCCGGGTCGACATTCGCTGTTCATGCTTCTAGACTCCCCCGTGCTCTCGTCCTGGCAGGCGCTCTACGTGCAGGTGCCGGAACCAAGGTGAGTGATGCGCGTTAGCTGGGAAAAGGGGTTCGCCAGGGGTTAGGCCGCTCACCTGGGACTCCGCCTCCAGTTCAGTTTGCTGCTCTCCCCCACGCTGCTGGCGTGACCTTGGGCAAGCCACTTAGGGCCTGTTCTTCAAAGGTGGTTAGGCTCCGAACTTCCATTGGCAATGGGAGGATCGGGGCCTGAGGGCCAGTCTTTCAGTGGTATTTGGGTACATGCTGGGCTGTTCAAAAGCACCCCTGGAAGTCACTGAGAGTTAGGGGCTTTGGGCAATCTGCTAGGTGCTGATTTTCTCTCTTAAAATCTGGTTCCTAGGGTGTTTCCTGAGGTAGCCAGACTTGTGAGGCCCCTCAGTAGCACCTGCCCTTAGTGCCAAGATTTCTTGTCTGTGCCTGCGGAAGATCAGCTCCCTCACTCCCCAAGCCTCTGATAATGCAAGCTCTGCCTTCCAGGCCTCTGCAGGCCTTGCTCTCGCTCTACAGGTTAGCCATAGGCATGCACCCACCCGGGAGTCCTCCCAGCATCCCTCTGGAGTGCCCAGGCCCTGTGCCCTGCTACTCCCCGGGAATACGAGCTTCAACTCCAGATCCCCACGCTCTGCGTAGTGCACGGCACTTGGAAGCGTATGTGGTGAAAGGAAGAATTAAGGTTGTCATCGCAGAATGGAGATTCCAAAGATAGTAAGTGCAAATATTGGAAACAAATGGTTACATAGCAAAGAAAATCACACGCCTGCTGAAGCCTAAACTTAACTCACCAGCCATTTCTCCCATCTACAGGCTAGCTTACCTCAAGTCCTTTCAGGATGGCTGAAATCCCCCTTAGATAAGATGGAACGCCCTGTCCGCTTGGCTTCACAGTCTGAAGGATCCTAGGGTGTGTCTCTGCACCACCATCCATAGTGTGCCTGGCCTTTGATCTTCACCTGAAAATAGGGTCTATCCCCCTACAGGAACAGTGTACCTCTTCCCATTAATTTCCTTCTGAAGTCTCTGCAAGGGTGCATAGATGAACCCCCGGGGCTCTGCCTTCCCTTGCCTTTGAGCACCAGGGGCTGCGAATCGGCAGCGAAGCCCGGCACTTGCACAACCCCCAGCTCCTTGCAGGTCGTTGGAGGTCCTTAGGCTGGGAACAGGATGTTTGCTCCCTGCGCTGCCTCCTGTACAGTTTGTGCAGGAAGCTGGAACTGGCAACGCTAGGACTTTTTGGCTTCCTAACTGCACTGAGCTGAGAACATGCTTGGCCTTGTGTACGTTTTTTTTTTATTATTTTTAATCACCTTGGGGCCTGATTTCATTCCGTATCTTGCAGGAGAAACCAGCACGATCTCGGCCTTCGCTTGCACAATCAGAGCTCTGTGTCCGATCCCTGGGCTTGGACGGCTTTTGTGTTACTCTGGCCAAGTTTAATTCCACACCGCCACCCGCCCCCAGGTGACAGTCAGGCTTGGGGCAGGAGCAGCGCTCTTGGCATTGCGGATCTGCTCCCTGGGAAAGGTATTGGTGCAGCAGCTGGCAAATGTGTGCCATCCCAGCACCCCCCTTTCCCTGCGGGAAGGGATCTGAAGTTGGTGGAAACCTAGCAGAGCTGGCTCGGAAGGGGGGAGGGGAAATCCGTGCGAGAATGCTCCAAATCTGGGCTGATTGCGATCAGCTGGGTGGGCTGACCAGGGTGTCCTCAAGATGTGGGTTTATCTAGTTCCTTTTCAAAGCGTATCTCTCTGGGGTTTCTAGTTGTTAGAGAGAACATGGCGTAGGGGCACTTAAGCTAATAGGGCCAGACATGCAACTGGTTTAAATTTGCAAAGCTACATTGACCGTTTTACGCACCAGCTGAGGGTCTGGCCCAGTGTGGAATTGATTGAAAACTCTCTAAAGGGGCATGGCAAATAAGTGAGCCTGTTTGAAGCCAACAGTACTTTTTAAGAGGAGTCTGGTGCACTGTTTGGCTAAGCAGGGTTCTATGTGGGTTGCACAGCTGAGAAATACACCCCTTCGCTGAAGAATTATGCTGCAAAAGTTAAGCTTTTGTTGTTTGATTAAAACATAAGAACGGCCATACTGGGTCAGACCAAAGGTCCGTCTAGTCGAGTATCCTATCTTTGAGAGTGGGCAATGCCAGGTACCACAGAGGGAATGAACAGAACAGGGAATCAAGTGATCCATCGCCTGTTGCCCATTTCCCAGCTTCTGGCAAACAGAGACTAGGGACACCATCCCTGCCCATCCTGGCTAATAGCCATTGATGGAGCTATCCTCCATGAACTTATCTAGTTCTTTTTTGAATGCTGTTATAGTCTTGTCCTTTACAACGTCCTCTGGCAATGAGTTCCACAGATTGGCTGTGTATTGTGTGAAAAAAATACGTCCTTTTTTTGTTTTAAACCTGCTGCCTATTAATTTCATTTGGTGACCCCCTAGTTCTTGTGTTATGAGGAGGAGTAAATAACACTTCCTTATTCACGTTCTCCACACCAGTCATGATTTTATAGACCTCTCTCATATCCCCCCTTAGTCGTCTTTTTTCCAAAGACGACTCTTTTCTTTTGAAAAGTCCTAGTCTTATTAATTGCTTCTCATATGGAAACTGTTCCCTACCCCTAATAATTTGTTGCACTTTTCTGAACCTTTTCCAATTCCAATATTATTTTTTTTTAAGATGGGGCGACCATATCTGCACGCAGTGTTCAAGATGTGGACATACCATAGATTTATATAGAGGCAATATGATATTTTTTGTCGTCTTATCTATCCCTTTCTTAATGATTCACAACATTGTTTGTTTTTTTGGCTGCTGCTGCACATTGAGTGGATGTTTTCAGAGAACTATCCACAGTGACTCCACGATCTCTTTCGTGAGTGGTAACAGCTAATTTAGACCCCATCATTTCATATGTATAGTCGGGATTATGTTTTCCAATGTGCATTACTTTGCTTTTATTAACATTGGATTTCATCAGCCATTTTATTCCCAGTAACCCAGTTTTGTGAGATCCTTTTGTAGCTCTTTGCAGTGTGCTTGGGACTTGACTTAGATTCTAGCTATTGCGGTTGTAAACATAACCTTGAAAATGTGAACAGGGTGTATGCTGACGCTGTGATGTCTGCTTGAGTTTGCACACAGCCTGAAACAATAGCACTGGACTGCCCGATTCAGGTAGTTGAACCGTTAACTCTGAAACCTAATGATGACGAATTGCCAATGTTATTCCTTTTAGCAGAAATACCCAGGAAATGTGATTATCCCACAGTCCCAGGTTGCTCCCCCATGTGTTTATAGCCCCAGTTGGCCCTTATCCAGTAGCCAAATGCTCTAACTCCCCACCCATCCATCCTCTGGCAACTCTGATCTGAAATCTGTGGCACATTAGAAACTGAACATGGAAATAGCAAAATGATTCAAACGGGCTGTTCAACCCATTGCCATATTTAATTCATTAAAAGCCTCCCTTGTGGGATTTTAAAGGAAGCCACTACAAATTTTGCCCCATTTACAGTCCCAGGATACCAGTAAATTGAGTGGTTTCAGAGTAACAGCCGTGTTAGTCTGTATTCGCAAAAAGAAAAGGAGGACATGTGGCACCTTAGAGACTAACCAATTTATTTGAGCATAAGCTTTCGTGAGCTACAGCTCACTTCATCGGATGCATACTGTGGAAAGTATGCATCCAATGAAGTGAGCTGTAGCTCACGAAAGCTTATGCTCAAATAAATTGGTTAGTCTCTAAGGTGCCACAAATACTCCTTTTCTTTTTTAGTAAATTGAGTGATCCAGCTGCTACGGAGCACAAGGGGCCTTGAATATAAGATGGGCCCCACTTAGGTGTCCTGCCAGCCCTCAGACCCATCTGGTGAGCCAATAGCAGGGACCAATAAACAATTCTCGAGAGCTTCATCAGCCAGCTGGCCAGTGCTGTTCATGGGGAAGTAAAAGGTTAAAATTCTCCCAGGATTTGGAGGTCCAAGAAATGGACTAACTGAGCCAGTATGGCAGGTGGGTTACTGTCCATTTAATCACTGTTCTTTCCAGGTCAGTTTCCTGTTTGCTCAGCTTAGGGTGACCAGATGTCCCGATTTTATAGGGACAGTCCCGATTATTTGGGGCTTTTTCTTATATAGACACCTATTACCCCTGTCCCCATTTTTCACACTTGCTATCTGGTCACCCTAGCTCATCTGGCACATTGCTGGGTTGTTATGCCCTCGTCCGAGAGCTGTGGGAGAATTTCTGTCCCTTTTAGTTCCGGAGAGGCCGTGAGGGGGGCAGATGCTTTCAGAGGGAATGGAACGGAGGCCCAGATGAAGGAATGCTGCTGCGACCACTCCTTACACCTCCGAAGAAGTGTGAAGTAACAGGCAGGGGCCGGTGCTACAGGAGCAAGGGGGGTTGACTGGAGAGAGACAAGTGATGGCAAATCCTCAGAGGGTCTGTAAGGAATGGGGGAGTCTTTGGAGTGGATGGGAGGAGAGGAAAGCAGGCAGCTCTCTCCTGCGCTTGTGGGAGATATATGAAGTGATAAGGGTGCTTTGTTATTACATGTATTACAGTAGCACTGAGAGGTCCCTGAGTGTGCTTGGAGCTGTATGGCCATACGCCTGAGGGCTTGTCTACAGACCAAGCCTGCTGCAGGCTAACTGAGGGTGCATGCAAACAGAGCACGGCAGCCTAGGGCGGGGTACAGTCACTCCCCAGCTTGCTGTGGTTCATCATTCATCCGGATGACCCCTTAGAGACAAGTAGTAAACGAGACACCACAAAGCGTGGGAGGGGAAACTGAGGCACTGAGCTGGGAGTAGAACCACCGCTTGCTACACGTACTGGCTGTTTATCACTTGCTGAATAGAGCAGCCAGAACTACCTGGTATCAATTGCTCTGTCCCCCACCTCCAACGCCACTAGGTGGCCGTGCAAATCTATCTTTGCACAAGTGCTTGTGATACTCGCCTGTCCTGCAAGCACCACCTTCTCTCACAACAAGAAATGAACGGAAGGAGTTCATGAATAGCAGAATGGGGATGCTGTGCTTTGGAGTTGCAAACATTCCTTTTCCGATGGCTCCTCATCGAAGGCCGGAAGGGAAATTTGAACTACCTCCGGGAAAAAAATCCTTCAGTGGTTGAGTTGGTGCAAACTGTTTCCCCCTCCCTCTCATTGATTCGATTCATTTCTCAGCCACCTTGTTGGGAAATCCTGTATAATTCCCCTTTCATCGGGGGAAACTGGGGCACTAAACCTGTCACATGGCCCACTCTACTCCCAGCTGGGAGTCGCACTGCTGTAACCACTAGACAAACTGGGCCTGTTTCAGTTTGGTGCTGAGCCTCCCACAACTAACGTGAGACCAAGTGTTTTCAGTACCACGTAGGAAGCAAGTTAAGGTGACCCAGGGTTCTTTCCCCAGTGGAATTATTCACGTGCCTCCCGAGGGCCCGCAGCAGGGCTCTGTGCCCCTGAGAGCTCCAGCCTCCTGTTCGACGTGGGCTTTGTCTTCCTATATTAGGAGCCGCCGTCTGGTAGGAACCAAGCCTCTCTGGCGCTAGTAAGACGGCCTCTGGGTGCCTCATGGGTCTGGATAGCTGTAGTGTGGGTGGGCCGTGGAGAGGGCATTGCAGGGAGAGTCAGATGAGCCGGCTTCTGTTCCTGGCTTTGCTGCTGACCTGCTTGGTGACCCTGGGCTTCCCCACCGTCAGCCTGCATGCTCCAGGGCTGGGATTGTCTCTCACTCGGTGTCTGTGCAGGGCCCCACGGGGCCCCGATCTCTATTGGCACCTCAGGACCTGAATGATGATGATGCTTTACCCAGGCGAGGGGTGGGATTTGCAGGCACAGCATTGCCCGTGCTCTAGGCTCCAAGCTCTCACTGGTCTCTGTGCAACGGCTGGGGTCCTGGAACGGCGTTGGGCAGTGGGGTGGGAAGAAGGGGTGCCATTGAGGGAATGGGGAACAGTGCTGCCTCCCTGCTTTGCAAATATGCATCTACCCTCTCCCAGTTGTCCGGGAGGGGTTGGGCACTGCGGATCTGCGGCAGGCCCAGCTTGGCTCTTCTATGAGCATCCAACTGAGATCAGGGCCCTCTTGGGCCAGGCGCTGCACAGACGCAGAGCGAGGGCCAGGCCCTGCCTCTGGAAGAGCCTAAGCTAAATAGCACCAGCAAAGGGAGCATCCTCCTGCTGGCCATGTTCGTCTCACCGTTACCTTAGATCCTCCTGCATGTTGTCTCTTGTCCTATCCCCGGTTTGTAAGCTCCTCTAAGCTGCCTTGTTCGTACAGCCCCTGGCACAATGGTAATCGGAATAATAACTAATGAGCTGATTAACACAGCCTCAGCTGTGCGCAAGGTGTTTTGTCGCTCTGTGCCTCAGTTTACCCTCCTAGCCTGTCTCTATTTAGATGGCGAGCTCTCTGGGGTAGGACCCATCTATTTGTTCTGTGTTTGTTCAGTGCCTAGCACAATGTGGGGCTGGCCCATTGCTCAAGTTCAAAGGTGCCATGGCAGTACAAATAATATTTATTAGCCCTGTTTTATCACTGGGAAACAGAGGTCAAATAACATATCCGAGGAGCCTGGGAATTGAACCTAGGTAGCCTGAGTCACGCAGCCAGTGTCTTAACCACAGGGCTACCTCCCCACCCCCGGTTTCCTTTGGCTGGTTGCTGCTCCCTTTACATTCGAACGCAAACATGCCTGTGATTAGCAATTCCGAGGCTCCCCCAGCCCCTCCCAGATGCTGAAAGCCCTCCTTTGTTCTGCTGAGACTCACATCTGGGTACACATTTGGGCCACATTTCTGCAAGCACAGGATGCGGCCATGGAGATTCTCTCTTGGGACTGTCTGTGTCGGCAGCCATTGACCTGGCTTTTACAGGGGGCCTGCAAAGGAAGAAAATGGGCTTTATGCCCCCTCTTTTTGCTGCTGCTTTATTAGGTGTATTAGGGTAGCACTAGGAGCCCTGCCCAAGATCCAGGCTCCACTGTGCTAGGCTCTGTACAAACACATGGGCCTCCTCTTCATCAGGAGAAAGGGGGGCGGGGAAAGAATCCTAGTACAGGCAAGGCAAGTAGCAGCTTTGATTAGAACCACGTGACATTTTTCAGCTAAACCCTTTCTTTTTTTTTTTCTGAAAAAATGCAGATTCGGGTCCACCGAAACGTTTCACAAATTTATGTCTGTTTCAGCATATTATTTCAGTCAAAAAAAACAAACAAACAAACCCCCAAACCAATCCCCTCACAAAATCCGCAAAGGATCCAAACGTGTCTGTTTGAAACGCCTTGCCCTTTCAAACTTTCCTTCCGTTTTATTTTTGGAAAACTACAAACATTTTAAAAAGCATCAACATCCAAAATGAAGTGGAAAATTTTTTTGACTTTCCAGTTGGCCAAAAATTTCCAGGGCACTTTTTGTTTCAGGTTGATCCGAAACAATATTTTTTCTCTCCGCTTGCTCAGCACCAGCAGTGAACCAAAAATCCCCATTCCTCCTACAGCTTTAGTTTTGACCCCTCTGAGCTGATCAAGGGCAATTCTAAATCCCCCTCTTGCACTGGAATGAACAGAGCATATCGCTGATGAAAGAGGAAGGGCATGAAAAAGCGTAGGGGGTGGGGTTATGATGTTCTAGGGTAGAATCAGTCGGCATGGGGATGGTAATCAGTGAAGGGTTGGCAAGGCTGGGAGTCGCATGGTTAGAAGCAGGAAGTCAAAATTTTTAGAAAAAAGAAAAGGAGGACTAGTGGCACCTTAGAGACTAACCAATTTATTTGAGCATAAGCTTTCGTGAGCTACATCCGATGAAGTGAGCTGTAGCTCACGAAAGCTTATGCTCAAATAAATTGGTTAGTCTCTAAGGTGCCACAAGTCCTCCTTTTCTTTTTGCGAATACAGACTAACGCAGCTGCTACTCTGAAACCTAAAATTTTTAGAGCCGATCGAAAACTTCCATCAAAAATGGGAAACTGGGTTTCTGAGTTAATGCCACTTTTCACGGGAAGTGGCTGCTTGCCTCAAAAACTGTCTCCTTCTGGCCAAAACCTGAAAAGTTTTGGCTGAAGCCCAAACTTTGTTTCGAGTTCGGTCAGAAATTGTCTGTTTTTCCAATACAAAAAATGGAAACCTGTCTTCTGCAAA